TTTGGAATTATATTTGTCTACCATTTTTATTTTAAGCCAGTGGTTCTCAAGTACAGTTTCCAAGCATACGTGGATATGTTCTGAGCAAGGGAAGTCACTGCAAACATGTCAAGAATTGTGCATAGTCGAGTCAATCCCTCTAATAGACTGTAATGAGTCATTCTGTGTATAAACTAATTTGTTGAATGTGTAGCAGCAGGTGTGGGATAGTCAAAAAATTCCTCTTTGGATTCCAGTTCTCTTAAGGACAGATTCATCATTGTTCATAGCAGCAAGCACAGTATAACATATCTGGTAGTTTCTCTGTTGCTCTCAAAAAATGAATATATATTTATACACATGCATCCACACACATAGCATTAATGTAGTGGCTCTCCTTGCCACTAAAAACGGAGTTCAATAAAGCCACAATAATACTGAAATGGGAACAGTACATCATAGGGGTGATCAAGAAGAGTGGCCCTTGACCCCCTGCTTTAGCACTGGGGCTGCCACTTCCATGTATAAATTCTCAGGCCTCAGCTTCTGCTGAGTCTCTCCTGTGCTTTGTAGCAATGCCGTAGGTGGCTACAACTGCTCAGAGCCCAACTGCTCTGGATGTTGACAGGGCTGGAGCTGAAGGAGCTTTATTGTTGTCATGCTGGGCTACAAAGAACAACAGAACATTGTTGTTTGAAAAAGAAAAAGATCTCAGAGTTGTTTGTTTTGATTCCCTTGCCATTTCTGAATTTTGATGCCAATTCCCTCACAAAACTCAATATCTTAGTTCCCCACATAGTGAAAATTTTCTGTTTCCAGCTTTCCTCTGATCTTGAAATTCTCAAAGTTAATAGTATTTTCTATTAAAAGTGTTTACAGTTCTGCTTTTGTTGCTGTTAATTATTCCTCCTATTGCAATTTAATCATAAGAGATTTCATCTCATTCCATCTCAGGATGCTGCTTCAAAGTACTACCCTTCTAAGCCAACGCTTAACAGCTTTCCTCCCAGGAGCATATTTCATAGTGATATTGAATTTTAGCAATCAGATATGGTCATTAAATGTAGAAGATCCAGCATTCATGATACAGTTTTATAATTGCATATAATTGCACTATTCATCTTGGTAGAATCTTTAATAAGCTGTACATAAACAAGTACATTTAAAATTGTGATGGAAATCTTTTCATGTTATCACAACGTTTAGGAATTTTAATTACATGGGTAAATTTCATATATGTGTAAGTAGAAACTAGGCCAACACCACTCATTCAGATGATTTTTATCAATCCATTCAGAGGTGTGCAATTAATTCTTTACATATGTTACTGCCTTCTATAATGATTTGGAGAAGTACTGAGCAGGACCTTCCCACATTCTTGCTTTTTCACATCACAAAATGTGGTGCATAAATATCTGAAAATATCTGAAGTCACACTGCAGGCAGTGGCAGCAGGAGAGCAAGGATGTCTAGGAGTGGCATTTGGGCTGCAGTTGCTGCTGGCCTCTACGCTGAAAGTACTGTCTGCACCTGGGGCAACTCTGCTTTCCTTATTGGCACCTTCAGCAACTCTCTCTGTTACTCCTGTGACTTTTCTGGATTGCTCACCCTGTTTCAGCGGGATCCTAACCACAGAGGATGTTATCAGTGAGAAGTACAGTTGGAAAATGGGAAGCTGTATACAGGAGATTTTTGAGCTTAGTGTATGAAAACTGGAAAGGATCCCTCCATCCATGATTTGTCAAGAAGACTACAGATCAAATATGTTTGAGATTCTAATTGGTACTAAAGCTTTTAGGAATCATGTCTGAAGAAATGATCATCTGTAAATAAAATGCACTGCAAAATAATTCTTGAGCAAAACGTTGGAGCATCTATAAGTGACACACCCCGGCTTTCATTGTCTTGTGAGATGGAATATATGGAGCTTAGAAAATGTTCTCTTGCTTTTTGGAAAATGTTCTTTTAATTAAAAGTGAATGTGCAGCACAGCTTCTGATAACTAGAGTTGGCAATCTAACACACCCATCCTAATCCACATCCACCCACATGCATGCGTTTGCTGTTACCTCTCATGAACTCCTCTGAAACCAAGTTGGAGGTAGAGATGCAAATGCTAGCAGTTCTAATAATTGGTTCAGATTTTTGAAAATCTCTACACTGGTAATTAGAGAGATTAGTAGAGGAGAAGATGCTATCCTTTGTGTGTTGTTTGCTTTTTGAAAGTAATGATATGCTGAGCCTCTAACAGACTGCCTCTTCTCAGAGTCTCCAGTATTTTTATATTACGGAGCTTTCCTTTTATTAGAAATGTTATTCATAATTTAAAAAGAATGCAAAGCATACCCCCTTAACTTCATATTTGTGGACTGACTCAGGATATATAGCGACATAGAACCATGCACAAAGATTTGCCTTACTGAAAACTACACAGAGAGGCTTGCTGAGTATTTGCATATATCTGACAACTTGAAATTTTGTTTTATATTGTTAAGAGAAATGAATCAAAGCATTTGAAGACTTTAAATCCAAAGTGTAGAAAATCTATAAAGTAAAGTAGAACAATATTGTTTGATGTAGACCTTTAGATAATGGCAGGCCATCCTCAGATTTCCTCAAGTTTGGCAATTACTGATATTAAAAAAAAGCATAATCAGAAGATAATCACACAATGTTGAAGTCAGTGTTAGAATTATTTTTGGTCTCCAATATAGATTAAAAACAAATTTCCATCAGGGTTAATAATTCATTAGTTTCAAAGTTAATTTTTACAAGGTAAATATAGAATGGCTTTTATTTTTTCCCAGTCATATTAGACTGATGTTTCTTATACTAGTCTTTATGGGGGATTTCTGAAACAATCAATTCTTGGAGAACAAGAGTTGTTATAATGAGCTCTTTATCTGTACTGATTTAGAGCTCCGTTAATCATATTTTTCCTTATTTTTGATTTTTCACGTAATTAAAAACCTGTTATAACTCATTTTTGACATGTTTCCCTTAATAAGCATGAGACTCATCATGGCATGGAGTAATGTTGGTATTTTCTATATTCTAACTAGTAGACACTGTGCAGTGTGTGAGAAGAGGAGAGATTATTTGACATTGAACTCTTAGAATTCACAAGGCAAGTTGCCATAGCTCTGGGGACAGTGACAGCTTGAATGCAGTAGATAAACAACAAATGTTTCAAGTACTAAAATTGTATGGCAAATGGTTTTCCTTTTGTCAACATGATCACATTGACTTTAAAAAATCAGATATTAACTTTATGCATATATTTTTTTACCCATTGACCAAGTCATGACCCATAACTATGTTTCTTAAACATTCCCACCAGACCACAGAGGAGACTGAATGCATATACTCAGGTTTCTGGGGTATAGTTTAAAGCATTCCATCCACTTAGGACTTTTCTTTTAGTATCCTGTTTTATCTGAAGCCTCACTAGCATTTTACATTCCGTTCATATCAATAATGGCTACATTAATAAGCACTAAACTACATAAATTACTCCAAAAATATTTGAGTAAATTTGATGCTCCCAGGCAAGTGCTATGTTTATTTTGGGACTTTGAAAACCATCCTATCCCTCTTGGGAGAAAAGGACTCCTTCTTATGTCTTTTACCCCTAATATTAAGCTTGGCATAGAGCTGATATCAATAAATATGTGTTTGTGTTGGGTATGTATGTATCTGTGTGCTGATTAAAGTATGTGTAATACTTAATATAGGCAAATGAATTCTGTTTATATTAGGAATATATTTTTATATTCTTGGAAAAACTTTTGTGTGAAAAACATAGGATCATATTATTGGTTCTTAACTTTTGTTATTCGTTTAGATTTAGACTTTTGATTTTGTAAATTCATGTTCCCTTGAATTTTATCTATGAGATTTGTCTGAGGCCTGGTTATAAGGTGCACTCTTCCAGAGAGGATTTGTGTTTGCCTATACCAAGCACCTGGGTGATTGTAAATACATTTTTGATCCTTTTGACAACCAAAAATAGATAATGTGAATTCTGGCCCTAATGCCATGTAAGTGCAGGTTCTCAGAATGTGTCAGGATTTATTTTCCTTACCCACATCCCAACCCCAATTCACTTCCAACTCAGGTTATGCAGGCTAGTTTCTCTCTCTCTCTCTCTCTCCTCTCTCCTCTCTCCTCTCTCCTCTCCCCCACCCCTTTACACTTCTAAAGATGTCAGTATTTAGGAAATTTTTAATTAAAAAGGGGTCTTTGCCATAATCCTTACCCATATCAGCCCCAGATTTGTGTCCCACCTCTGCATACCTGGGCACCTGGCCTCATCTGTCCAGCTAAAACATCTGTCCAGCTAAAACTAACCTGAAACCCTCATAGGCCTGGCAGATACTGCTGTGGAAAACATGCCTTGGGGATGGTGGTGGTGGTGGATCATCTCTGACCTGCTTAGAATTTCTTTTCTCATTGATCTTAGCCTCTGAAGAATTCCTCTTTCCTTTTTTCCATAGATGTTTGCCTTTGAAAATAATACTAAAATGATTTATTTAGAAATTAGAGGAGACTTTTCATTATCTAGCTTTCTGGAAACAGTGATCTTGATTGCTTGCTGTGTGTGAGGCACACTATTGACCCTCATGCTGGAAAACATGACCTGTCTTTTCAGTAATGAAAGTGGGGCATAACCCTTATCTTTACTCCTTATCTGGATCTCTAGGTGGTAGGCATTTTCAGGTTGTCCGAAATTCTTAGAGTCTCTGAGTTCTTATCTATAATAAAATGGTGGAATAACTGACCTTTATAGATGTTTCCAGTTCTAATTTTTTTTTCTTTTACTACATCACTGCATCACTGTATAGCCATTAAAATATTATTCTATTTTTATTCTTACAGTGATTCAGCTGCAGTCACCACTCCAGTTACCCATGACTCCTGCAAACGGTTCTCTCTCACCAATCTGCATTTATTTCTTAGTGCATTGATCTTTTCAGAGAGCGCCCAGAATAAATGTTTTTTTGGTTCTCCCCATCCCGCAGGTTGCTTCTCTAGGAGTTACTACCTTCACCTTGTGTGCGCTGTGTATAGACCGCTTCCGCGCTGCCACCAATGTACAAATGTACTATGAGATGATCGAAAACTGTTCTTCAACGACGGCCAAACTTGCTGTGATTTGGGTTGGCGCTCTGCTGCTGGCACTTCCAGAGGTCGTTCTCCGCCAGCTGAGCAAGGAGGATCTGGGGTTCAGTGGCCGGGCTCCTGCAGAACGATGTGTCATAAAGATCTCTCCCGATTTACCGGACACCATCTACGTTTTAGCCCTCACCTATGACAGCGCGAGACTCTGGTGGTATTTTGGCTGTTACTTTTGTTTACCCACACTTTTCACCATCACCTGCTCTTTAGTGACTGCAAGGAAAATCCGCAAAGCAGAGAAAGCCTCTACCCGAGGGAATAAGCGGCAGATCCAACTAGAAAGCCAGATGAACTGTACAGTAGTGGCATTGACCATTTTGTATGGGTTTTGCATTATTCCTGAAAATATCTGCAATATTGTCACTGCCTACATGGCTACCGGAGTTTCACAGCAGACAATGGACCTACTGAATATCATCAGTCAGTTTCTTTTATTCTTTAAGTCCTGTGTTACCCCCGTCCTCCTCTTCTGTCTCTGCAAACCCTTCAGTCGTGCGTTCATGGAGTGCTGCTGCTGTTGCTGCGAAGAATGCATCCAGAAGTCTTCAACAGTGACCAGTGATGACAATGACAACGAGTACACCACAGAGCTCGAACTGTCTCCTTTCAGTACCATACGCCGGGAAATGTCCACTTTTGCTTCGGTTGGAACTCATTGCTGAAGGACAGTACTTGGTTTGGTCAGATTTGCTTCTTGGTTTGGTTTTCAAATCCTGTGAATGTTTCTACTTCATATTTTTCTTTAGGGGAAAACATGCAAAAAGAGGGGAAAAAATTTTAAAAAAGCAAATAAATACATATTAACTACCATAGAACTGATTTTGCAAAATAATATTTGTGCTCTGAAAAAAAATGTTTATATTTGGTTATTTAAGAAGAATGGGAAGGCCGATAGTTTAGATTATTTTATCTGTATGGTGCTAATATTTTATTTGAAAAAGTTACTGCACCTTAATTTAATTAATTGCTAGATTTCTTCCTTTCTTTAAAAAATTACAATTGTTGTATATTGAGTACAGCCATGTGGTTTTGCAAGTTACCTTATGTTTGAGTTGTAATTGAAAGTATATTGTATATGGTATTGTGAGATGATTTGTATTTAGAGGCATTCATTCACCAAGTAGCACCAAATAAATTACACTTTATTCTTTAATGTCATTGTCAATCTACTTTTAACCAACATTCAATAAATCTTTTAATTGCCTTAATGACACAGTTACTGGTTCTATGCACAACTTAGAATTGGCCTTACTGCTTTATAATTATATGCTCCGTTGGGGCAGGTAATCACTATGTTATAAAGAAGCATTCCTAATAGTACTATTTTATGTGCATGACTCATAAAAGTATATTGTATATTAAAACAAAACTGTATTTTTAATATTCAGATATAGATGTAAAATTACTTCCTAATATTTACAAAATATAAATAAATAGAGTAGGAAGAAATTATCTTTTTTTTTTCCTAATAAATTCACTTCTGAACAAGCATGATTTTCCCATGAGGAATTATGGGCAGAATCAAGAATAAAAAACAATGCACTTGTCATCTGGTTTTCCCTCAATGCTGACCTTTGAAGCTTTGTGCATCCTGCATGAAGCACTCTGAATTCTAATTTTCCTTCTTTTAAAAAATAGACTTGATTAAATCTGTATGAATTAATTTCTTTAAGTGGAATGAAAGCACAGTAGTAGAATAGTAAAATATTCCTACATCTTGATTAGAACACTTGAATATTCAAATGCTACCTTTGAACAGATTCTTTATAAATTCCCACTAAAAAAACTAATGCTCTGACCAGCCCAAAGGCCCAGCCTCTTCTAGGATGACTCTTTTTTTTTTTTTTTTTTTTCTTTTTTGGTACTAAGGATTGTACCTTAGAGCATTTAACACTCAGCCATATCCGCAGCCTGTTTTTTATTTTGATGCAGGGTCTCACTGAGTTGCTTAGGGCCTCCCTAGTTTTCTGAGGCTGGCTTTGAACTTGTGATCCTCCTGCCTTAGCCTCCTGAGTTGCTGGGATTACAGATGTGTGCCACTGCACCTGGCTCAAGCTGACTCTTAATGTAACACTGAGAGGGAAAATATGGGTAGGGTTTTGAATAACCTGGCCAGTCCTAGAACCAAATCTCTCCAGTCTCCTCTTGGAGATACCAACACAACTTTCTACTGAAGTTTAAGGCTTCTCTTGTACCAGGAGACAGAGTGAAGCCCTACCCTGATGTAACTGTTCTGTTTAGAGTGGTCTGAGCTGAAGATTCCCCACCCCAACCCCAAAACCTCAGCCAGTGATCTGGATCCATGAGTCCTCAGCCCACCCCTGCTGATCTCCTCCTTGATCTTGCTGGTCTATTTGGCCTCTCCACTCTCAGGATGTGAAGCTCAGAATCTCTCAGTCTAGAAGCATCTGCCTGTGTTCTTTCTGTCCCACCCAAAATAGGAGATGGTAGTTTAATAATGGGGTTTATTCTGTTTTTATATTTAGTCCCACTTTGGTGGTTAATTTTGTTAGCCAACTTGACTGGATTCAGCAATGCTTAGAACAGAAGTAAAGAACTGGAAAATCCAGTGGGTCTGTGAGGATGTTTCCAGAGAAGATTGGCATGTGGGTCAGTGAACTGAGTGGGGAAGACCTGCCCCAAATGTGGTGACACCATCCTATAGGGTAGAGGCCTGGAATGAAAATGCAGAAGAGAAAAGCTAGCTCTGTCCCTGCTCTCCCCTTCTGACCAGATGTGTTTCCCAGTGGCTGTTGCCCAGGGACATCAGACTCTACATTCTTCAGCCTTTGAACATGACTTGTACCAGTAGCTCTCCAGGGGCTTTCAGGCCTTGACCCTCCTGCTGAATCAGTCAGATGCAGGCTTGCTTTGTCTTTCTCTCTCTTTTGCTCCCTTCTCTCACTCTGAGGCTCCAACTACTAGTTTCCCTTGTCTCTCCAGCCTGCAGAGAGCCATTGTGAAACTCTTCAGCCTCTGGCTTTCTGAGTCAATCTAATAAATTCCCTCTTAGAACTAAACAAACAAACAAACAAACATAAACTAATGCTTTCCATTGGGATTATTTGAATCCCCTCTCTTTCCTCTTCAGGAGTTTAAGTTTCAGCAATTGGGTTAGATACTGGACATGTGGGGCATATGTCTAAATGAGATGACAAAGACTCTGACCTGGTGACACAGTGATATTTAAAAGCTACTAAAAAAGAAATGTGGTTGAATTCCTTCATCTTTAAAAAAGCTGCATGATATGGAAACACAATTTTCTATCCAGGAATATGTTTCTCTAATGGTCAGTTTATATACTGTGTAACATAACTGAGTCAGTGCCTTTCTTCTTTCAGATTTTAACATGATGTTATTTAAAATAATTAAATTTCAGAGGTAGGAAAATTAAATAGATGTGATCCAGACCATTTATCTTCCAGATGAAACCTAATTATCTAAATGACTACTCACACTCTTCTTTTCCCAGTCTGATACTCTTCAAAGGGATTTTTCTCTCCCTCTGTGTGTATGTGTATATGTAATCATGTATTCTGTTTTTTTTTTTTTTTTCATTTGTTTTTTACCCAGGGACACTTAAACACTGAGCCTCATCCCCAGCACTTTTTATTTTTTATTTTATTTTGAGACGGTGTCTCACTCAGTTGCTGAGGCTGGCTTTGAACTCACTATCCACATTTTAGCCTTCCCTGCCACGGGGATTATAGGCCTGCCCCACAGTGCCCGGCCCACTGTCTGTTCTCTAAGAGGTTTCAGGAATGATAACAACAAGGCATCATTGTCCTCTTTTCACGAGGACAGTTGAGGACACCTAGGTTGGCTGCAGAGCAGATCAATAATAGTGATTTCACATTTCCTCTCATGATACTTGGGCAACTTTATAAATGAAGAAACACTGATGGAACACATTAAATAGAAAAGATTCCATGCTAACTGAGGGTAACTAGAGTTATTCTCAGACCTTAAAAAAACAGAAAGAGGTGGATGGGCAAGAAGGATTGAGACAAAGAAACAACTGTGACATAACCAAGGACATGTCAGGTACCTCAGGAAGGTGTGAAGTTCTGTGACTGTTCAGAAAAGAGAACAGGTCACACTGGGGGAGAGCATGAAAGGCCTCATGAGAAAACTTATAGGTAGGCTTTGAGAGGAGTGGTGTGAGGAGTGGTGCTCCAGGGAGAAGGAGAAAGAGAGAGTTTAATGAAGGAACAGAGGAGGAACTTATTGGGTACAATGGAGGAATGAATGAATAGTCCAGTTTGGCTCCTGTGCATGTGTGTAAAGAAGCTAGAAGCGGCTGTGGTTTGGATATGGTTCAGATATGTTTCCCAAAGGTGTTGAGAGGTGGCATAATCTTTAGAAGGTGAGGCCAAGGAGCCTCTGGTGAATGGATTAATGCTCTCTAACGAGATTTCTAGATCTTGTGGGACCCGGTTGGTAATGTAAGAGCAGAACTTGTCGTAAAGTAAAATGTAGTTGGTTTCTTCTACCCACAGCCTTTCTAATTCTCAACCATGTTGTGACACAGTAAAGGGGCCCTCATAGGAGGCCCAAGCAGATGGGGCAGCCTGATCTCGGATTTTTCAGCCTTGAAAACTATAAATGTAAATGAACTTTTTTACTTTAAAAACTACCCAAACCTGGGCATTTGGTTATAAGAATGGGAAGAGGATTTCAACAGAAGCCTTATGGAAAATAGTAATGAAAATGTGTACTGATGTCTTATAGTAAAGGGGTCATGTTTTGAAAGATGTTTAAATTGAATTCTTCCAAAATTGGAGCTTAGTTTTTAAGGTTTTGAATCTTACACATCATCTTAACTTTGTAATAGAAAGTTCAATTTGGAAATGTATAAATCGTATTTGTGTTCCTTAGCCAGAACAATTTTGTGGTTTCAGGAGAGTTAACAAAAACTTTTTCAAAATCTATTTCTATAACTGTACAATATAATGTACTCAATTTAACACTTCTTCAATGATTCAGAATTAACAAAGCTTTTAGATTCATGGTGGCATGCATCAACTCAATGAACATTTATGAAAGAGAAAGAATCAGTGATTGGGAGGGAAAAAGGTGGGTAGGATGGCTTCACAGAGGAAAAGAGCAAATGTTCGTTGCTCCATTTTATAAATGTAGGTCATTTACAAAATCCAGCTGAATTTGCATTTAGTATTTAATAATATTTTAAAATATACACCTAATAATTGTTTTTCTCACCATTTGCTTAATTTTCATAAAAGTAGAATTAGGAAAAAAGGTCCATTTCTCCATGAATCATGGTAAAACTGGCTCTAGTGTGTCACAGAAGTATGTAAGTGACAGTTGAGTACTGGGCATTGGTTAAGTCATGAGTACTTATTCAACAAGTACTTAGTGAGCCCCACTATCTGTCAAGCACAGATGTAGGTGCATGTGATGTAGCTAGGAACAAATCTACAGTCCTGCCCTGTCTTGTTGAGAAAGACACTATACAAAATAAATAAATAAGGAGAATACATAGTGTCTTTGATAGTGAAAATTAACATGGAAGAAAGGAAACCAGCTAAGCCTTTAGGATATCTTTCCTTTCGTTTTCCAGCTTCTAGTAGCCCCATCCCTGGCTGGTGGTGCCTAACTACAAATGCTTCTCCCATCTCCATGAGCCCACTTTCTCCCTGTTTATAA